CGGCCCGGGAAGAGGGGGGGACGCTGGAAAAGGCCGACCCCAAACCTGCACCTGCCTGCGAGCCGCCCGCCGCGCACCCCGGGTTTAGAGCGTGTGGAAGGTAACGAAAACCTCGCTTGGGGCAAAGCTGCCGCTTCTACCCGGTTGGCGCCGCGCGTGGCGGAGTCTGTCTTTCCCTCCCGTCCCCGTGTTTTTCCCACCTGCTTTTTCAGTTAAGCCTTTTGAAGGCAAAAGGGTTTAACAACAAGCCCTACAGTTTGAGCTTTTTTGGCCCTAATTTTAATGCACAAAGGCAGGCAGGCGCTCGGATGCCTCAGAAAACCCCAGCTTTCCGCAGGCGGTTTGAGTGACTAAGGTGCAATTAAACCTCCTTGACCCCGCGCAAGGCAGCCAAGCCGCCTCGGAGGCAGCAGCGCCGCAGACCTGCCGCAGCGCCCGCGCTCCTGGTCTGGTCTTAGACTCCAGCACAGAGGTTTGTCCACGCTCCTGTTGTCGCCTGCGGGGTCAGGACCAATTCTGTCCCCTTTGAAGGACGACAGCGGGAGCTGGATGCCGTTCTCCACGAGGACACACAGGACTTCACAGCCATCTCCACCTCTCCCCACCTCGGCACCTTGCCTGCGGCCGTCACCACTGCACCCAGGGGGTTCAGCTCTGCTTCCATGAAATGCATCTCCCCTCATTCACCACCAACTAGCACCCGAAATCAGCAAATCACATCCACTCAAGCAGCACTGCAGTGAACTGGACAGAGCTGCTTTTGGGAAGTATCCTACCCTGAGCTGTAGTTCAAAACAACCTATTAAGCAAACTAGAACTGCACTTCCCCTGCAACCCACGCCATGTCTAAGCGCAGGAGTTAAATCCTTCATGTTTTTCTGCCCAGGAGGCCAGGTTTCTTTCCCAGAGACCTGCACCGCCTTGACCCGGTGACGTGCGAGATGCACAAGTCTCAGACGTGAAAATTAAAGATGCCGTTTCAGTTCAGTTACATCCCAAAACACCTCTCTCAGCCTTAAGAGGAATCCATGCACAGTGGTGGTGAACACAATGTGAGACTCTCCGGTACAGCATCAGAGTATTTTCAAGAAAGACTAGAGGTGCAAGAAGGCAAATGTAATTCATTTTTCACCATAATAATATCATCATCATCATTTGGTAGAATCCAAACTTGCTGTGCCAGGAACAGGTCACAATCCATAAATCTTTAGCAATGCTGCTTCAAACATGGTCCCTCACACTCCACGTCTCAGAAACATCATCACCCATGACGCTTTCATGAGCTCCGGCCAGGTGTGCAGCTTGCGTTGCAATCCACCCTTCCCTAAGCGAAGGGAGAAACTGCACCAAACACGCCCGTTATCTGCCTCAGCAGCTGAAGACAGGAGACAGATTTTTGAAAAAAAAATTATTTTATTGGAACTCATCTGAACATCAGATATACCTGGTGTTGGTTAGCAAGAACCGTTTGTACATTTGATATTGATGGTGCCAAAAACCCAAACAGTGACTGACTGGATGAGATGGAAATTTAAAACAAACAAAAAAAAAATGTCAGAGAGGTTAAAATGTGAACAGAAAGCAGAAAAATCAGCCAGTCTAAGATTCAGTGTGAAGGCAAAATATTTCCTGATAAAACAGAATCCTTTTACAAAATATAAATTTTGTAAGAAAAACGTGGAGAGGGAGAGAAAAGGAGAGAGAGAGAGAGAAGGAAAGAAAAATAAAGATTAGCAGGACAGAGATGCAGAAGCTTACACTGCCCAAATGGCATTAAAACCTAGCTAGTAACCTCACCGTAAAACAAAACATGCTGGAATACACCGTGCTCCACCCCCCACGTATATGACTTTGGAACAGGACCGAGGGAGCTCCCCAGCGAGTGCTGCACTAGGTTATTCCAGAAGGGCCAAGTTTGTCTCACATCAGATGTTGAAAAAAACCAGACAAACACTAACGCAGCACAGGTAAAACGCCGCCAGTCTGACCGGCGCCCGGGGCGGCGGCTCACCTCCCCGCCGGACCGGGTCTGCGTCCCGCCGGGAGGCGAGGACTCGGGGAAGGCCTGCTCACCTGTTCTTCCTACCAATGCAGGGGGGGAGGGATCAAACATTTAAAATCTAGCCTATTTTAAAACAATAGCATGCAATACAGGCCTCCAGGGGAAACCTGCGCTGTTCCCTTTATTAGAAACTGGCCTAATGGTCTAGACAGTGGCTGCAGCCGTCTCGAGGTTTTTGGCTGCGCAGGGTGGGTCTGGGCTAGCACAGCACAATGACAATTCTGAAGCAGGCTCCTCGGGTGCGAAAGCTTTCAGGAAAATCATTGTGGAGCTGCTTTTGAGGGGATCTGAGGCCTTTAAGATTTAAAAATAAACCAGCAGTCTGCACATTTTGGGGGTTTTTTTTTTGGTTCAGTACAAATGGAATAAACTTGGCTGCCTATACACCGTCAGTAAGTCTCAGATTTCAGAGCAGAGGGAAGAGATGAAACAAACTTGTTTTGGGCACCTATCGGTAACAAAACTTTGTCCCTGCTTAATTCTCTGCCATCCCTCAGGAAGTGGAAAGCACATGTTTAGGTAGTGTAAGCCTTTTTCCTTTTATTTAGAATACCCTCTTTGTTTAAACAATATTCCCCCCCCAGATACAAAGTTCGGCCAGTAAAGATTACATGGAAACTGGAACACGCATCGTATGGAATACAAGATGCACTGGATGAGGAAGTTTAAAAACTTTCCGAGCGAAAAGTAGAACAAAGAAAAAAAAAAGTCTCCTAACATTTTCCCAAAGGTTTCACTCTCCTGTCACACACACTCTCCAAATGACAGCTAGCAAATTCAACTCTGCAAAAAGAAAAGAAAACAGAGCCACGTCAATTGAGAGGAGAGAAAACAAGCCTCAAGGACACACACCGCACCTTGGCCTGGGAGGAGCGACAGGTCCAGGGCAGCTGCGACCTCCAGCTCCTGCCTCCACTCACCTATGTTAGCTTCTTGGCTTTGTTGTAGAGCGAATCCACTACTTTACTCATATTCTGAATAGTCTCGAGGGCAGCTTCATAAGTTTTGTCTACAGGGGGTTCGTCGAAGATGATCAGGACTCCCTCGCCTTGGTCAAGGATGCCTGCGGACACAAAGCTGCGGTTACCAGTGTAACGCGTGACAGATCACATCTTCCTGACAGCAG